TGTAAGTATGTCTATGTGTGTATATATATATAGATGTGTTTGTACATACATACATGCATACAAACACATACATAAGCGCATACGTAAACGTTTACGAATGTGTATACATCTGTGCATAAACATATGTATATGTACACATATGTCATGTAAAGGCATATATATATATATACACACAAATGCTATCTTAACAACACCTGGAACTCCACCGCCACAGAAAGGTTCTCGATCTCTTGGACGCGGGTCCTACCCTTCATCAACGGAACGGCTACCCCCAACCAGGAAGGAATCGACTTCTACAGGAGCTTGGGTGAAGATGGGTTTCCGAGCGTTTTATATCATCATGTAAAGTGCCGCTTTTAGCCAGTCAAATTTATGGTTTCCTTGTAACTTTGTAAGGGGCTTATGAGGACTTGGTCGGCTTTGATGGGGCTGTGTGTCGTTTGTGTTTAGGACATCTGGTTCGTGCAGCTTGAGGATTTCGGGGTTTGGCGTCTCCATGGTTTGAGGAGGTGGCCTTGACCAGAAATCTCAGAGAACCATAGCAAGCCAATGATGTTAACAGAGTACAGATCAAAGCAACAGTATCGCTCTAAGACTAGTACTGCTACTCGGATCATCACCGGGGCCGTCATGGTTGTTTTTGCTATTGCATCCATTCCTTCTTCTTGATGCTTATGAGTCGTCGGCATCATTCCTGATCACGGAGCCGCTAGACTGCAGCTTCTTGTTGGTTGTAGAAATCCGGATCGCCTTCCCGAAGGAAAGTGCTGGCAGAGCTGATGGCGAGAGGCCACTTCGCTGAAAATAGCATCGTTGTGCGCTTGCTTTGTCAGTCCGGGCAGTCTTGCAGCCTCTGTAGGCTGATGTCCCCGGTGTTCCGCTGTTCCCGGGCCAAGTTGACGGGCAGATCAAGGTTCACACTGTGCAAGGTAACCTTTTGAAACTCCTCTTGTCGTAGCGAGCTCTGCAAACGAGCCTGCACAGGTGTAGCGAAGCCTCAGAGACATTCGACCCTTGTAGAATCGGTCGGGGTTTTGGGTTTAGCAGCCAGCGAACGGCTGATACATCGGGATCTAGATCTTGGCGTGCTTATCTGTCGGATTAAGCAAAAGTGAAGATGTAGAGGCTGGTATAAGTATCCACATCATTCCGTAGGGTTCCTCGACATAACGAAAGTGTATAAGGCACCCCCCCCGAAGACCTTTTCTAATAATAACGGCCCCAGCCCCACAGCCCCTCTGCCAAAAAGCTTGTGAAGCCCAAGTTCCGATTTCAGCTTGCAGCCTTATGGCCCTGAAATATTAAAAAAATATTTTATTACTATTTTACTCTTCTTATCATTATTGCTATTCCTAATATTATTGTTATCATTATTGTTCTTATAGTTGTTAATAGTCTTATTATCGCAAGTGCTATCATCATTGTCGTTGTTGCTATGATTCTCATGGCCGATTTCCAGGCATCACGCCCATGGTGACGATGTATCACTGGGATCTCCCGAAGGAGCTAGACTGGCGAGAGCCAGAGGCCACCCGCCCGACCGGATTCTTCAACGGTTCAACTTAGGGGTTTGGGGTTTAGGGTTGAGAGGACTCTCTCTGATCAACCCTAAACCCTAAACCCTAAACCCCAAACCCTAAACCCTAAGCCCTAAACCCTAAACAACTCTGTGCTGTAACTTGAAGCCTTGCAAGACTGCTTCTCCTGGCTTTAAACCTCAGCTGAACATGTTCCTCAACATGCATCTACCTATAGTCTCCATTGTAGTTCCTTTTTAGGGATACCTTATAAAATCCTTAATATATAAATGGATAAACCAAAAAAAGGAACTACAATGGATACTATAGGTAGCATGTAGGTGAGGCCACGGCACAGCTTCGGAGACGCAATAGGTCCCTCCTGCACGATATTTGTAATATAGTCTTACAAGAAAATTAGGGTTCAGGGTTTAGGGTTTCGGGTTTAGGGTTTAGGCTTAAATATCAGAGACCCGAAAGCAAAATCGCGACAAAAGGAAGGGACACTTATACTTGAGACCCAGCGGTTTTTAGGCTTTCAGCTGGCATTTGCGCCTACTCAGCCTCGAGGCACTTAGAAGCCTTGGCTAACCTAAGCCTCACAGAGCCGGAGCAGGGCATGCAAATGGGAGTTTGCGAAAATAAGGGGGGGTACCTTCTTTTGGGGTCCTTATAATAAGGATCCTATTATTTGGGGTACTATGTTAGGTTCCCCTATTTTCGGAAATCCCCAAATCCGTGTTAAGGACTTTTACGCTTCAGGGTCCAGGCGACATGTTGGATTTCAGTATAGGGGATCTCTGTTTGGCGCTGGAGGGCTTCCGGACTCAGGCTGTAACTTCCAAAGCAACGAAGTCCACTTACATTGCGATGCTCACCTGCTTTACTGCTTCATACCTCATCAGCGTACTGTTGTCTTGGACGAAGCGCGATCGCCCCAAACGACTCAAGCCTTCGCCGGCAAGCTAGCGCTACAAAGACGACAGCTTCGAGTCTGAAAGCTTGGCCACTACACACGAAGCAGCAGGTGGTGGAGCATTTTGTGAGCTATGCCAAGTTCCTCCTCACTACCTTTCCAGAGGCCGCGGTTCTCCAATTTCAGTTCTTGTCGGCTCTTATGCATTGGTTTATGTTGTTCTGTCGGGCTGGCCATTCTCGATTAGATGTATTGCCACGCGCAGAGGCACATGTTTCGAATGTATGTGTGTTTTGATGATGTTCAATGCAAGACACTTGTCAGCCGCTATAGAGCTCAGCCAACCAGGAGCAGCGCGATGCAGCAGCTTGGAACTTTCGTTGTTTGAACTGCATGGTTCTGCATCTGTAAGCAAACAGCCAGCTTCATCATCATAGAGCCAGCATCAGCATGTGCATCAGCATCAGGGTCAGCATCAGCACCAGCATCATCTTCAGCATCATCATAATCGTCATCGGCAAGATTGTTTTCACTGTCCTCCTCCTCTTCCTCCTCCTCGTCCTCCTCCTCGTCCTCATTCTCGTCGTCATCTTCGTCGTCATCGCCATCATCGTCCCCATCACCATCATCCTCAACGCCTTCCCCGCCATCTTGCTCCTCAGTATCGTCATCTTAGGCATCCTCGTCAGCGAGGTTGTGTGCTCCTTGGGTTTGAGGTTTTAAGATTCGGAAGCTGGAATCCCCCTCTGTATGAGACGCTCTGGCCTCTCAGAACGACAGGTCAAGTTATGGATGACTATCAACGAGCCGTTCAGCTTCTGCTTTCTGGGCTACCACATCGGTCCCGGCCTCAGTCGTACGGCGCCACCGAAGCCACATCAAGAAACCTGTGCAGTTCGAACATGCCTCCTGACACCTCGCTAGCTTTGAAGAGGGTCGAGGGTGTGGGGTTATTTGGCTTTGGGCAAGTTGCCGCGAAGCCGTGTTGTGTCGAAGCTGCGGGCGCCTCCTCGAGGGCCAAGCGTGCAGCAGTGTCTGAATGCATGACTTGCAGTAGTTGAGACTGTAGTTGAGTATCAGCAGGAAGAATGCCCCGTTGTTAGACGGTCGCAAATGGCTCATGTTACCCATCAGGCGCGTTTGGGGACAGACAGCTTTCTAGGAGAAGCAGACCCGGCATGTGAGCACTCAACTGAAAGACGTACCAGCAGTTGCCCAGCTGACGAAGCTGCAAACCTCATCTAGCTGCCTGTGCTCGACTCTCCACTCATCTTCACTTGATGTTTGCTCTAAGCAGCGTTTCTGATCATACCGAGTCGTATACGACTATTGTACAACGACGATCCCCAGCACCAGCCCTTACTAATCAGGTGTCCATGCGCCGGGTGTCGAGTCAAAATACGACCAGTTCAAGTGCGGCCACCATGTGCCACGGTGGAAACATCAGGGAGCTGACGGTTCAGCATGCAGAGGTTTAGAGTCACATAAATACAAAACTCCGCAAGGCCCTAGGTGTAAAAGATCTGCAGACATACCAGACCGGATTGATTGTGTGCTCATTTGTGATGATGGTGGTGAAGACATCAATAGTGGGCATGCAAGCAGTGAACCCAGCACGACAGTGGCAACAACCATCGTATGGTCAAAAAGTGATAGGAGCATGTGTGACAAGTCCTCTGTAATTGTTCCTATGTAGATGATGCATGAAAAGGTCCAGCAGCAATTGCAGAACTCTAATGTCTTTAGTCGTTTTGAGATCAACCCTCTCGGGCCCGACTGACTAAACCCAAGTCGCTGCATACAGCATTTATCAATATATATATATATACATATATACATATATATATATATAAGTACATAGATGCATGTATAGAAGCTTGCATGTTTACTGCTTCATACCACTCCTTAGGGTTATGCAACTACGACACCCTCGTCGTGTTCTTCAGGCCCCTACGTTCTCAGGGTAGCCGCAACCCTCAGAGTCCGCCCCGTGTTATCGCGCAAATGCACCGCAGCCCCATGTGGTGAACCTGAAGTCTGAAGGGGGGCTTCATAAACAACCGATACTATTTTAGGGGTTCCTTATGAGAACTTTAGTATGATATACCCCTGTACTATTTTAGGTGTTCCTTATGAGAGCTTTAGTATGATATGCCCCAAAACCCCATTCTAATCATTATAAGGCCCCTACGTTACGTGCCTACGGACGACGTACTTAGTTGTTTACAGTTTCTAGGGATTCAGGGACTGCTTTAAAGAGGTGCGCAAAACTCGCCAGGGCCGAGAATCAGAGTGACATCGGCCATGCACCGGAACTCTTAACACCACCTGGAGTCGGTTTTGGCATTGACGTTGCGCACTGCCAAATCAACTTTAACGGAAATGCTTGTCGGGCTTTTGGTGCCCCTCGCTCCTGAAGCTTTCCGGCATAGAGGGATTTGGGGTTTCGTTTTCCGAGGTGATTCTCGCACATGCAAAGACCTTCGAGATGTTCCGGAACTTGTTCCATGGCCAGTCCGGGTACAAGCAGCCTGGCAGCAAGTGGCTTGGGCACTCAGAGCTATGCATGGAGCACTGCCAGTAGTATCTTGCCATGACATACCCACATCCAGGGCCATGCAAGTCCACCTGCGCGGGCATCGTATGCATCGCCTTTTTGCAAACCGACTGGCGAAACCAAGCACGCGGCGGTGCTGGCATGGTCCAAACCCTGCATCGGAAGTGCGCTCCCTTCGCCCAGCAGCACATGTTATGCAAGGATGGGCATCGTGATAAACTACGATTTCCCGGAGCCGCTTCATCCGGACGACAAGAACGATGTGAAGAGTGTCGAAGTCGATGCACGGCAGAGGGTCGGCCACTTGCTGCAAGCTGTGGAGAAGGAAAATGCAACCCTAAATTTCAAGGCACGAAAACCAAATCCAGATGCCTAATTCGAAGACATCAGCCCGAGAATCAGTTTCGATCATTGTTGTCATTCGGACTTGATGTGAAGATCTGTGTTTGGAATCTGCGAGGCTTCATCTTAATCTTCAGATATCCTACATGACGAGCTGTGGCAAACTGTTGTGTGGTGGCTGTGCCTACTTGGAGGTTCATGGGACTTAGTAAGTACAGTTATATGTACCTTAATTGGAGTTATAAGTAGTTATAAGTATAGTTACCTTATTTATAACCCTAGTTACTAAGTCCCATGAACCTTTAAGTAAAGCAGCCCCAAACGTCAACTCCAAAGCTCAGGCGCCCCCAAAACACCAAACCTGCAAAGGCTGGTTTGCAGATCCTCTCTTCTTCGGAGACTATCCGGAGGACTGGCCAGCCAACCCTAATGTAGAGGCCTAAATAATTAGCTATATCATTTTCGGGGTTCCTTATTATTACTATACTGCAAAGGTCCCCCAAACCCTAATTATTCTGATTATTAAGGCCCTTACACTAACAGAGGGGTCAAAATCAAAATGCGCAGTACGACGGTCAGTCCTCGGGCACTCAATTCGAGTAATCCTGCACAAAAGCTCTGAGTGTAAAGTTTCAGGTATGCATACTCACAGTCAATACTGCAAGCCAATAACATAATACAACATAGTGAACAAAACAACACGTAACGCAGTATTTCATATATTGGATATTGGAAATTGATATCAATTTTTCGATATTAGACATTAGACACTTGAGGCCAGATATCAGATACGAGTTCAATTAGATAATTAGATATTGGATTTTTGAGATAAGGTATTTGACATCATGTCTTGTACTCTATGTATGATATCTGTCAAGTTTATACCCTAAACCCTAAACCCCTTATTTGAACCCCGACTTCCTCACTTGGCTTTCTTTCCGGGGCTCATTGGAAGTTGAAGTCTTTAGTGCCTTCGCAGGGCGACTTAGGGTTTACGGTTTGAGGACTCGGGGTTCGCACTCACTTGAAGTCCTCTTACAGACCGTGTCCGGCGGGGCTAAACCAGCTGTCTGAAACTGTCACATCGGAGCCTTTCAGGAGTTGAAGATAGTCACCGGCAAGCACCTTCCCCGCTTCACTGCGGCGGAGCAAGAGCTCTTGAAGTCAGGCTTCAGGGACTCGGAGTCTGGTTTATGGGATAGCGAACAGCAGGCATCCATCTCAACAACAGGAGCAGAAGAAGAGCAACAGCAGTGTATGCAATGATGATGTCAATCAGGCTGGCACCAGTAGTAACAGTGCAGCGTCGAAGTGCCACCCCTACAGCCTGAATCCTAAACCCTCAACCGCTGTGAGGTGCCAATCACCCGATGTCGATTTATGGCTTGAACACGTATGGCGGGAGGTACGTGCTGTGTCCTCAGACGGGGAGAGCCCTGAGTTGCGGTCATGGAAACTCTGCCCGAGAAGCGCTGTGGGATGGCTCAGGTCGGCAAAGCAGCCTCATGAAAAGCAGGATTCTGATGATCACGGTGATCGTGATGACCACGATGATCATGGTGATCGAGACGTTGACCCTCTCCATCCGCAAGAGCGCTTCTTCAAGATCCTTGCCTGCAGGGCTTGCAGATGGTCCATTCAACAGTGGATGTGTTGCGGCAGGTCAGGGTTTATTCAGGCCACATCTACAAGGAATGGATAAACAAGCATTTTTGCTTCGACACACCCCAGAGACAGCACAAGCCTTTCCTGGTACTGGTTTTATCAGGATTTCTCTGAGACGTGCTGCTCTACCCCACCCTCAAAAAACGCTCACGATCACCAACACTTTCTCAGCTGGCCCTCGGCAATCGCCATGCTTGAATACGCATTTTTTGCGGTGCGGGGTGGAGCCCTTCAGAAAAGTCTTGTACGGCCGCGATTCTGCAAGCCAGGTTGCAGATTTCAAGGCAGTGCGAGCTTCGTTTCGTTCTCACAAGCGCACTTCCCCCAGTGCAAAGTAGAAGTCGACATGCCACCCTAAACCCTAAACCCTAAACCCAGGAAGCCTGGGAGCTCATTTCTGTTTCTCCCTAACATCACACCAATCCAAGGCCACAGCACTCGTCTCTCTAGCGCCGAGACCCGAAGTTCAAGCCCCCAGAGGCCACTCTCCCAAACCCCAAGACGCCAAAACCTGGCCCCCAAATGCTTGAACAAATACTTATCCCGTTGCTTGAAGCCTTGGGAAAGGGATGGAAAGCCCATCGGCGATAAGTTCATCGGGGCGTGGCTGTACAAGGTTCCGGAGGCCTGTGCAACTTCGTGGGTGAAGGTTTCGCGACTGAGCCTAGGGCTTGGGGGTTTGAAGGTTTATGTTTTATGTGCTTTTCCGGTCGAGACTCGGGAGCAATAGCACTAAAGCCATGTAGATGCCTTGAAGCATCCCTTCTGGAAACGTCTATTAAACACCTATCAAACACAACTTTAGTTGGCCTTCAGGCCTTAGCATTCCATTTAGGCTCTGCCTCGGTTCAGTGTGTGTGGTGCGGTTCGAGTTTATTTTCTGTTTTCGGGTGCGTGCACAGAGTGCAGCAGATACGACCCTCAGAAAGACAGCTGCAGCTATAGGTCTGGAGGATTTGTAGGTATGTCCCCATGTAGTCCCTATAAATTTTCCGGACAATATACCCCGAAACCCTGTTTGATTTCTGAATCAAGACATGAAGCTATCCGAGAAGATGTTGACTTTTTGAGCAGCGACCTCAACTCAAGTCGGCAATCCCTGACCCTACCCTACTTGGAGGCTCAGGGGACTTAGTAAGTCGGTTATAAGTGCCTTCATAATTGGGATAACTCCATTTAGGGTACTTATAACTCTACTTATAACCTACTTACTACCTCCCCTGGGGCTCCAAGTAAGCATCCGTAAGTCTTTCTAACATAAGCCTATCTGGCCTTGACAAGCTGCAAACGCTGCAAAACTAAAAAGTTTCGAGCTGCATGGTCAAGGGTTCCACACGAGAGTGGAGGCCTTTGAGATGCAAAGGGCTCAAGGGTTTGCAGCTTCGAGGGTGTGTTACTTCATGGGGACTTGGCTTCTGGGTTCGGAGCCCCTGGCCCCAAGTAGCCCCAAGCGCGACATGTGTGAAGGTCAGGCGATATCTATCCGAAAGACTCATGCATGCCCAAACAGTGCAGAGGCCCTAAACTACTAGTCTAAACGGTGCAACTTTCCGGGGACTCGGCATCGCGAAAACACCAGATCTAGACAGCTGGCAGGAAAGAACATCTGTCTGGATGTCACAGGGATGGTGTTATGTCTGCAGATATAGTAGTGTTGAGTGATTATATTCATACTTACTCGGGCCCGTATTTTAGCGGTTCAGTGTGGTGAGGAGATGTTGCTGCATCTCCGCTGGGCCCCTCGCCGAAACCAAGTTCAGAGCTGTTGAGACGACGCGGGGTTTTATTGCGTTCAGGGCGTCAGGGGATTTCAGGGTTTGGAGCCGAAGCTGGAGGAGAGGGGCTCCAACCAGGGGGTCTTCGCATGGAGGGAAGAGGATTTTCCGAGGCAATCGCCGAATTCTGGGTTACAGTCATTTCTTGATGTCTCGCTCTTTCGCACGTGGGCGTCTCAGGTGAACCAGCGCTATCAGCCGCATCAAATCTACATTACAGAGAACGGTTGCCCTGATCCTGGCCACACTCAGTATGCCAGAGCCCCGTTGCTGTATGCAGGTCTCCATTGCTTCGGAGTCTTCTGGGATGTAGGAACTGCTGGGGCTCGAGGGAACGGGAAGGCAGCAGGGCGATGTGGCAGGATGGCATGTTAGCCTTAGCCATAGGCTTCCATACGTTCTGTCGATTATCTTTTCCCTTTCAGCTTCGTGATTCCAGGCTTGGACGGTGGATGATTCGTACCGCATCTCGCTACCTGCCAGCACGTCAGGCAACACCATCGACAGACTACGAACTGCTAGGCAGCATCAGGCAACATAGTTTGTCTGGAAACCTCACCGCTCTTCGAATCTATGTAATTGGTTATAATACCACTGCGACGATAGTGCTGTTGTTGTTGTTGTTGTTGTTGTTGTTGTTGTTGTTGACAATGATGCTTGAGAGGACGTCTTTGTTGTCTGTGATGGGGATGCGGATATGTGATTTGATGTGATGTGATGTGATCACTCATGACCACCATGACCATGGCGATTTCCGCCAGGGTGAGGATGACGAATATGATGTTCTTGGTCCTGCTGATATTGATGTTTATGACGGTACTGACGTGATGATGATTACGACGATGATGATGATGATGACGCTG